TGCCCTTCCCCCAGGTCCTCCGTTACAAATCTTACTCATTCTCGAGGCCCAGCTCCGCCTCCAAAACCACAATCGATGGGGCGCTCACTAGCAGATCTGAGCGCCTCACCACATTATGTCAGTGCGTCCTCATAGCTGGGCGCGGTTCTTACCCCCATTTCACAGGCGAGGAAACTGAGGCCCAGAGCACTTAAGTCACGTGCCCAAGGTCACACAGTCGAGCAGGGATTCGAACCCAGGACTGTTGGATTCGGTAGCCTCTGTGGAGAGGCTCTCTCAAGCGCATCACTGCTCGGCAGCGATCCGGTAGCCCAAGGGGTGACTGGGCTCAGCCCCGGGCTGGGGTTCTAGGAGGGGCGTGTCGGTGTCTCTGCGCTGGGAGCCCCCACCCGCTGCACCGTCCCAGCCGCGCCCGCCCGGCCGCAGCCGCTGTGCCGGAGGAGCGGGCCCCTCGACTGGACTCCAGACCGGGACCGCTGACTCCAATCCCCTCCCCGTACAGCCGCCGCGAACACCCCAGGCACCTGCCACCCTGTCAGATCCAGGCGCTGCACACATACCCAGAACTCCGGACGCCGGGGCTGCAGGCTCGCCGTCCGGCGGGGGCCTCTTGCCACGCTCACCCTCCAGGGACGTGCCCCCGGCGCCGGAGGCAGCTTCGGCCATTGCGAGGGCAGGGCAGGTCAGGGGCTGCGGGCGGCTCAGGCGCTGGGGGACCGCGGGCTCATGGGGCGGGTGCAGCCACGGAGCGCGCCAGAGGAGGAGACAAAGGCCGCGCCCGCCCGCGCCGGCCGCCGTCCCCGCGTGCCCGAGCGCTGCTTCTCGTCCCCGCCCGCGCCGAACCTCGATTCTCCTTCCCGGCCCCGGACACGTCTTTCTCTGGTTCTCGACTCCGCCCGTGTTGTTTTCTGGGTTTCGTTCTTGCCCGCCCACCTCGCTCTCTGGTGCTCGTTCCCGCCCGCACCGAACGTGCGTTCTCTTCCCGGTCCCCGCCCGCCTCGGGCCTGGATTCTCCGCTTTCGGAGCCTTAGTTTCGCCATCGGTTTGGAATCTGAGATGCAGGTCCTGCCTTATGACCTTAGCACATGCTGTTTAGCTACCTAGGTCACTCTTCACGCCCTCTTTGTCCAGTTAACCCCTGCACCCTTCGGGATGTAACGTCCTCAGGGAGGACCCGATAGAGTTATCAAGTTTAGCAAATAAAAATACAGTCCTCCTAGTTAAATGTGAATTTCAGATAAATGAATAAATTTTTAGTATATCCCAAATATTGCATGGGACATAGTTATACTAAAACGTTACTCCTTGTTTATCTGAAATCTACATTTAACTGGGTGCCCTGTATTTTGCCTGTCACCCGGACCCCCTGACCATCCTGTGTAGCCTCCTTCGTTAGACTGACAGGCCAGCGAGGGCAGGGACCCAGACTGATTCTTAGTGGTCACACGGTAGGCGTTTGATGTATACTTTTGACAGATGGAACAACTCGGAGACTGCGAATGTCATCATTCGCCCGTCTTTTACAAATGAAAAAACTGAGCAGGGCGAGGCGTGAGGTCATTAGAACTGTGCCCTGTTCCCGTCTTCCCGAAGTACAGGCGGGCTGCCCGCTCTCTCCGTCCAAGAACCAGAAAATTAGCCGCGAGAAAACACCCCCGGAGACCCCGCCCATCTGGTGCCTGGAATTCCACCATCTGCGCTTTATTTCGCGAGCCGGCGCTGTCCTGGGTTAACCTGAAAGTAATCTTTGAGACTCCCCTTTCTGGCTTCCGGGGAGCCAGAGACAGACCGGACACTCAACTCTGCAGGAGCAGACCTGGGCCACAGTAGCCCAGAAGGGAAAGAAGACTGTGCTGGGGGTCCTTGGGACGTTTCCTGGCAGAGGGGGACCTTGGAGCTAGGCACTGAGGCAGAGTTTGTCAAATGAAGAAGGGTATCCGAGGCCGAGGGTACGGCGGGAGGGAAAGATGGGGAGGGGCGAGAAACTGTAGAGTTACGAGAAAACAAGTAGAAGTCTTCCCAGAAATTTTGACAAGATTTTCCCAGAGCCAATGCGTAGGTCCCCCGGAATTCATCACTCCCGCCACTAAGATGCTCTTGCTTCGACTCAAACACTCGCCTCTCTCAAATTCCCACTGCTCTATGCCAAGCCCTGTCCTTACTTCCACCTCTCACTTCCGGTGTGTAGGATCCCGGCCGCTCTAGGATCCTAAAAATTCTGTCTAATGTTGCCGGTGGAACACCCTTTCACTGCACCCCGGCGTGCGCGCCCCCTGCCTCTTCCCCTGGCGTCAGCCAGTAGAAGCGAAGATCTTCAGTGGGTGGGCGGTACGTCTTCTAAGGGGCCCAATGGTAATCGAGAATCGTTGAGCGCTTTACCAGTCGTGCCGCGGAGTGGGCGGGGCTTCCTGCCTGGACTCGCAGACTCCCGGGCTGGGTGAGCCGGCGTGTCGCTGGTTGCGAATCCATGTGGCGGGGGCTGTGGACCCTGGTAGCCCGGGCGGCACGTGGGCCTCGCAGGTGGGGCGACCTGGGGAAGGGGTGTGACAGCGTAGGGCGCTACTTGGGCCCCAAACCCTCTCCCTGGGATCTGGGGGCGCAGTTCCCTGCGGCAGAACCACCTTTCCCCTTCTTCCAAGCCCCAGTCTGTGCATCCCCCTGACGCAGAGTCCACATCTGGGTCAACTTCTGCTCTCAGAGTTCTCAATCCAGTCATCTTCCGGCCTCAGACCCTCCAGTCTGTCCATCCCGCAGCCGCAGAACTTCCACTTGGGTCAGCTCCCGACCATCGAGCCCACTATCCAGCTGCCACTCTGACGGCAGAGCTTCTCGGATGCACGGACTGACTCTCCTCCTCTCCAGTCCCAGACCGTGCACGCGCCAGGGCAGTGGCGCCCCGGCCCCCGCTTCCGGAGCCACTGTCTTCGCGCTGAGCTCCGGCCAAGGCCGCTGCGGCATCGCGGTGATCCGAACCAGCGGCCCCGCCAGCGGCCAGGCCCTCCGGAGCCTCACGGCCCCCCGGGACTTACCCCCGGCCCGCAAAGCCTGCCTGCGCCTGCTCAGCGACCCCCGCTCTGGGGAACCTTTGGACCGCGCGCTGGTGCTTTGGTTCCCGGGTGAGGGGCTCCAGATCCAGAACCGCATGTAGCTCCGATGACCCAGCTTCCTCCTTCCAGGCGTTGCCCAGGCTGTATCCTCCTGACACCTATCTCCTCAACATACTAGGTCCCCAGAGTTTCACGGGTGAGGACTGCGCGGAGTTCCACGTGCATGGAGGCCCGGCTGTGGTGAGTGGTGTCCTGCAGGCCCTGGGTGAGTCTGCAGCCTTGGGTTTGAGGTATGGCTATGTCGGTGGGCCTAGGTAGGGGCCAGGGGGGCTCAGGACCCTGGACCTTCCCGTAGGCAGTGTGCCAGGGCTGCGGCCTGCGGAGGCAGGTGAGTTCACCAGGAGGGCGTTCGCCCATGGGAAGCTGAGCCTGACCGAGGTGGAGGGGCTGGCGGATCTGATCCATGCAGAAACAGAGGCACAGCGGCGACAGGCCCTGAGGCAGCTAGATGGGGAGCTGAGCCATCTCTGCCGCGGCTGGGCCGAGACCCTCACTAAGGCAAGTACACCATTCGCTCATACCTTGCCTCAGAGACCCTACCTAACCATCTCCTATATTAGTGCTTCCTGTCTATAAGCCTCCAGTCTGACCCCTTATGTCGGGCTGGACCTGGGCACATTGAGGGATAGGTTTCTGTGTGATCACACTGGCCACCCCTCCCTCCCTCAGGCTCTGGCCCACGTGGAGGCCTATATCGATTTTGGTGAGGATGACAACCTGGAAGAGGGCGTCCTGGATCGAGGTGGGTCTGCCTGCCTGGGGGAGTGGGAGGTGGGGACATTTGGCATCTCAGCCCCCCGAGGCCTCCTTACTCCCTCTCCTTTCCTCCATCCACAGCTGACAGTGAAGTGCGGGAGCTGGAGGTGGCACTGGGCGCACATCTTCGAGATGCCAGGCGCGGACAGAGGCTCCGCTCAGGGGCTCATGTAGTGGTTGCGGGACCTCCCAACGCCGGCAAGAGCAGCCTAGTGAACCTGCTCAGTGCGTGGTCAGGGGGCGGGGCCCAGGGCAGGGGGCTAGGAGCGGGCCGGTTGGGGGTGGGTGGCTCCCGAGCTTTCAGGGATGGGGAAGGGGCGAGGGAGGTCGAAGAAAATGTCCAGCCCGGGGCTTCCCTGGTGGCGCAGTGGTTGAGAGTGGCCGATGCAGGGGACGCGGGTTCGTGCCCCGGTCCGGGAGGATGCCACATGCCGTGCAGCGGCTAGGCCCGTGAGCCATGGCCGCTGAGCCTGGAGCCTGTGCTCCGCAACGGGAGAGGCCACGGAAGTGGAAAAGGTCCAGCCCGGGGGTGGGGGTGGGAGTGGGTGGAGTCTTGGGGGAGGGGCTCCCTCATCTCCATTCCGCCCCCTTCCTCTGACCCCACCCCCAGGCCGGAAGCCTGTGTCCATCGTATCCCCGGAGCCCGGGACCACCCGAGATGTGCTGGAGACCCCCGTGGACCTGGGCGGGTTCCCGGCGCTGCTGAGCGACACGGCGGGGTTGCGGGAGGGCGTGGGGCCTGTGGAGCAGGAGGGCGTGCGGCGCGCCCAAAAAAGGTGGGCAGGCAGGGCGGTGGGAGGGGCAAACGGGGCCCTTCCTCTGCTGTTGCAACCGGTTGCATTTATTTTTCATTCTTCCTTAATGAGGAAAGGCTACTAAGCCCCCATTAAGTGGGGACCCAGCTATCTGGGGAGGGCAGCTTTTTAAGTTCGGCCCCTGCCCAGTGCTCCTAATTGCTCAACTCTGAGGTCCACGCTCCGTTTTCCCGCTTCCCCAGGCTGGAGCACGCTGACCTCATCCTGGCCGTGCTGGATGCTTCTGACCTGGCCTCTCCGTCCAGCTGCAACTTCCTGGACACCGTTGTCATCCCTGCCGGAGCCGGAAGCCCAAATGGGCGCAGCCAGCGCCTCCTGCTGGTGCTGAATAAGTCGGACCTGCTGCCAGCTGGGGGCCCAGATCCCAGTGCTGACCTGCCCCCTCACCTGTTGCTGTCCTGCCTGACTGGCGAGGGGCTGGATGGCCTCCTGGAAGCGCTGAGGAAGGAGCTGGCTGCATTGTGAGCCCCCCTTGCCCGCTGGGCAACCTCCCTCTGTCCAAGTTCAGGGGCTGAGCCAGCTCAGTTTTTGTATCTAAAAAATGGGTATGATTATCCCTACCCCCTTTGAATGTTGAGAGAGACCCCATCCTTTGTCCCTTCCAGGTGTGGGGACCCATCCACAGGCCCACCACTTCTGACACGGGCGAGGCACCAGCATCACCTCCAGGGCTGCTTGGATGCCCTTGGCCACTACAAGCAGGCGAAAGACTTAGCCCTGGCGACCGAAGCACTTCGGGTCGCCCGAGGGCACCTGACCCGCATCACCGGTGGAGGGGGCACCGAGGAGATCCTGGATATCATCTTCCAAGACTTCTGCGTGGGCAAGTGAGGGGGCGGCCAAAGCTCAGACCCAGGCTGGGTGGACACCCAGAAGCCTTGAGGCATCTGGGAACAGCTTAGGCCAAGTGTGAGTCTCAGCCCCTAGGGGAAGAACTTGACCCCAAACGGTGAAGCCTCTGTTGCTGGTTGTGACCAAGCTACAGCTGTCCAGATTCCCTAGCAGGGACTTGCTGAGGGTTCAGGCCCAGGAGTGGGGCTGAATGGAGGTCTCTTTTGGCACCTGATGCTGGGGGACTAGGAGTGGAGGGTTGGGATGGAGGTCAGAGCGTCTCAGGGGTCTTTGTTTCATAGTTTTTAACTTATTTTGCAAATACCAAAGGAATATAAAAAACTCAGGTGATCCGGAAACATTTAAACACCCCCTCACTGGGGTCATAGCTTAACTTGTATACTTCCAGAACTTTCTCTGCATGTTTGCATACTTGGGACTGCACCTATAAAGTATGCTGTATCTTGTATTTTGTACACAAATTGGTGTTTATTGCTCTGCAAGCTGTCATTCCTTTTTGTAGTATTAATCTTGCAACTTTGCTTCCTGTTTTTTAATTTTAATTTTTAAATTTTATTTAACTCTTTTATAAGTTTATTTATTTATATTTTTGGCTACATTGGGTCTTCGTTGCTGCATGCAGGCTTTCTCTAGTTGCGGTAAGCAGGGGCTACTCTTCGTTGTGGTGCACGGGCTTCTCATTGTGGTGGTTTCTCTTGTTACGGAGCATGGGCTCTAGGCGCGCAGGCTTCAGTAGTTGTGGTGCGCAGGCTCTAGAGCACAGGCTCAGTAGTTGCGGCGCATGGGCTTGGTTGCTCCGCGGCATGTGGGCTCTTCCCAGAGTAGGGCTTGAACCCGTGTCCCCTGCATTGGCAGGCGGATTCTTAACCACTGCGCCACCAGGGAAGCCCTTAATTTTTATTTATTTATTTATGTATTTATTTATTTTCTTTTTGGCTGTGCCGCATGGCATGTGGCGTCTTAGCTCCCTGACCAGGGATCGAACCCGCGCCCCCTGCATTGGAAGCACGGAGTCTTAACCACTGGACCGCCAGGGAAGTCCCGAAACTTTGCTTCTTTTATCTTCAAAGTGACTTGCAAAATCCCTACTTCCTTTTCATGCTTAGTCATTCATTCAGTGATTCATTCACTCATTCAGTGAATATTTATCCAGCACCTACTGTGTGTTAGAATTGTACACATCATTTGATGGGATTTTCATAAGAGCACAATGCAGTGGATATTTTGTTACTGTTTTATAGGTGAGGAAACAGGTTCAGAGGAGTAGTTAGTTGCTGGAGGTCCCCAGCTTTGGGATTTGCACATAGGTCTGTTCGAGTTCAATTTGAGTTCACTGCAGGCCTTCTGGGCAACAGGCCGTGTGTAGGGGGCTGGGATCATTGAGGGGAATAAGCAGACATAACTCCTGCCCTTGTTGAAGAAGAGACATAGCTCCTTTTGGTGAGGTCTGATGGCTGCTGGGCAGACTTAAAATGAGGAGACCTGACCTGGTCAGGGGTGGACATAAGGGCAGGCTGCCCTGCAGAGGTGGCATCTGCACCAACATCTGAAAGGTGAGAAGAATGAAACCAGATGGGAGAGGCTAGCAAGAGCATCCCAGGCGGAGGGCACGGCACGTGCAAAGGCCCTGAGGTGGGAGCATCACGGTGTGTTCGAGGGACAGCAAGGTGGCTAGTGTGGCTGGAAGTAGAGTGATGAGGGCTAGAGAGGAGGGAGAAGAGGTCCAGGAGGAGAGGAAGATCCTGATAGCGAGGCCTTCGATTCCAAGACTTATGGGTGACCTGACGTGGCGGTGATGAACCAGCAGAGGGCGCTTTGCTCTAACAAAGAAGGTGCCTGGCAGTCCTCCAGTGAAGCTCCGGGCCCCTAAGGTCCCAGAGATCCAGGCTTCCACACCCACCTGGTGGCATATGAATGGTTAACTCCCCTTTTGCCAGAGGTGGACATGGAGTCTCAAATAGGGTCAGGATCTTTTCCAGAATCAGAAAAAAATCACCTCCAGTAGTTGAAGATACAAACTCCGGTTTCAGGGGACACATGAGCAGAGGCTGGGAGGTGTCCAGGACCCACCACCCAACTAAAGGGACCTCCGACCCCATTTGTTCATGACTTCATTGCAGTATGTCACGGTCTGTTGATTTGTTTGCTTGATTGACAGCTGCTGCCCCCCAACCCCCACCATGAAAGGCTTCTGGAGGGAAAGGGTCACTCCATGAGTTTAGTGCATGGATATTACTATTATGTCCATTTTGCAGAAAGACAAGCAGAAGCAACAATGTGGGTCTAGAAGAGGTGGGTGCCCAGATGTCCTCTGTGTGGGCAGGGCCTGGAGGGCTCCCAGGAGGGGTGAGTGGGGTCTGGGTCGGGGAGATGCTTTTGGGGAAGGATGCCTGGGCCCTGGCACACAGCTGGACTGAGGTCCTTGGCTACGGTCCCTTTTTTCCAAGAAGGGAGGGGCAGTTTGTGTGAAGCAGCCATGGGGGTTATTTATAGAGATCACAGGAAATCCCCAAAGAGTCAGAACCTCATCCAGTGGCTGGACCACAGGGTCTGCCAATTACTCCCTGACTGGTACTCAACCCCTACCTGGCTCCCCGGGGAGGTGGGGATGGGGAAGACACCAGCCTGGAGAAGTCAGAGCTACAGGGTCAGGGCTGGGAAGAGGGAAGGATGGGGCCCAAGAGGTACCCAGAGGGAGCAAGAACTATACCTGGGGCATCTAGGAGGGCTGCCTGGAGGAGAGCTCTCTAGGGCTGGGCCTTGGGGGAAGAAGAATTTGCAGGCAAGAAAAAGGCATTCTAGTCTGAGCGCACAACACAAAAGTCACTGAGTAGTCAAAGAGTCAAAGGTCCAGGACAGCTGGAGGCAAAGGCGGCACTGTGTGTGAGGAGGGAGGACACAAGAGAGCTGAGGAACTGCGCTTTGTTCCCAGGGTAATGAGGAGCCATGGAGGGTATGTGAGCGGGAGAGGCACATGGTCAGATCCCATGACCAATAGATCAGGTGTGGGGGCTGATTAGAAGGATGATATTGGGATGCTCTGAATGGGAGGGACCAACCAAGAATCAGAGACCTGCGCCCATGGGTCCAGAGAGTTAAGGATTATGATGATTATTATTCTGGCCGCACCGCACTGCTTGCGGGATCTTAGTTCCCCGACGAGAGATCGAACCCTTGCCCGCTGCAGTGGAAGCACGTAATCTTAACCACTGGATGGCCAGGGAAGTCCCTAGGATGATTATTATTACACTTATTTCTAGGTGAGTAAGTGGAGGTTGAGATTGACTGAGCCAGCATTTGAATGCAGGAATGTCAGAGTCTGGAAGCCAAACTCAGGTGCCCCACGGTTGCTTGGGACTGGCTGCTATCAGCATCCTCCCCAGGACTCCAGGCTGCTCAGGCAGTAGGCTCAGGGTCAGGGACGTCCCTGCTTCCTTGGGGCCTCCAGACTGGCCCGTCTGGGCGGCCAGGCCTGGCTGACCCTCCTGCCCTTGCTTGGCGGGGCCCCAGCCGAGTGTTTCCTGCAGCGGCCCGTCTCTCGCCCGGGTTCCTGTATCCAGGAAATATCGCTCCTTTGTCCCTCCTGACTAGCCTGCCCTAAGCGTGGCGTTGCCAGCCTCGGCTCCTCGTGATTCATCCCCTCCCTGTCCAAGGCCCCAGGGGATGGGCTGGGAGGGAATCAAAGTGGAGAGACAGACAAGCTGAGATTCTAGACCACAATTTTTTTTTTTTTTTTTTTTTGG